GCTGAAACCCTCCCTCTGCACCTCCTTACCCCCCGCTCTCCCCCCCGCCCCAATCTCACAGCACAGACCACAATTCACAGGTTCCTGTCTCTTTTAAGGTTTAACTTTTAATCAGCCAAACATCTTGCGCAGACCCTGGGCCAGCCCTGCATCCTGTTTCTTACCCTGAAAGATCACCTTTCCCAGCTCCTCCTGGGCTGCCCGGTTTTTTGGGTCTACCGCCAGAACCTTCTTGAGGTCAGCAGTTGCTTTTTCCAGGTTCCCAAGGGCAGCCTGGGCAACCCCCCTTCGGTACAAGGCCTTTAAATGCCCAGGCTCCTGCTCCAACACCCGGTCACAATTCTGGGCTGCCAAATGGGGCTGCCCTAGCAGCAACTGACATGCGGCCAGGTTGGCATGAAGGATAGTTCGTTCTGGAGAGCCAGGTGGGGGTAAAGTCAGCAGCAGCCGAAGAGCCCGTCCATAGCATCGAGCAGCCCCTTCGGGGTTCCCAGCTCGAAATAATTCTGTGCCCCTTGTACGTTCTTGCCTGGCCAGGGCCTCCTTCTCACTGGCCTCCAGCTCCCAGGAGTCTTGGCCCTGAGTGAAGGAGGCCAGTGTGAGCCTGACAGGAGGGCCAGAGTGCCCGGGGATCTGAAGCTCTGCCTCCTCACCTTGACACATGGACTCCAAACATTTCTCTATGAGCTCCCCCCAAGTTTCCTCCCTCCATGGGCCTAACCCCATAGTTAGCTCCGTCCACCCCTCTGGCAGCCCTGACCCAAAAGCCAGTACTCGGCAGTGGGAACCCAGCTTGGGTTTGTCCAAGCCATAGCCACGGATTATGATCTTCTTGACAAAGCTCCCATCCGGACAGTACCAGAGATCAGATGCTTGGAGGGGCTCTGGCATTTCACTGGCTGATCTATGGGACTTATCAGAGTCTTCCTCAAGTCCAGCAGACAGTTTTTCAGTCCCTTGAAGATTCTCTAGACTTTGGCTGGCTGGATCTGGGCTCACTCTCAGCTCAAGGACTTCAGTAGGAGGCTCCTGGGGATGCTGCCTAAGCCGAGGAGCTGAATCAAGGTTCTTCTGGGGGTTCCAATCCCATTGTTGTTGCGGTAGAGAGGTGTCTTTCTCTCCCACTGGATTGATTGGTGCCATCTCCATTTGGCTACTGTGGGTAAACAGTTTTGGTAGTAAAGGGATGGACCAGACTCAGGTCAGCACCTGAAAAAAAAATCGAAACAATGCTAACGGTAGGATTCTTATTTAGACTCCTTTCCCGTCTTTCTGGTACCTGGGACCCGGTTCTCAAAGTCCTCATTTTTCTTTCCCTCCAAAAATTTCTGTCACGCTCCAGCCCTCGGTTCCACCCAGAACCCAGAACTATAAATTCCACAATTCCCTGCGGTTAGGGTAGCCGCCCCAACTACGGACACCGATCGAGTCAAAAAGTCCCTGGGAGGCCGAAGCGCCTAGCCTGGTGGCGAAAGTCGGACCATTCGGACCACCTCTCCTTCCGAAGCTAAGTGCTTACTAAGTACTGTCCTCAGAGTCTTCCCGCAGGCGGATAGGAGGGCCGGGGGCCCAGGGGCCGCGGTGGGGAGAGACACTGACAGCTAAGCCCAGAGCCCGCGAGATGGCCAATATTGTCAGATGCCTGGCAGCCAATCGCGAGGAGAGAGAAGTCTGGTAACCCCGCCTTCTGGACGTGACGTCATTTCCCCTTGCACGCGAGAAACTCCAGGCATTAGCAACCGAACTAGGCAGGATCCAACCGAACTAGGCGAGATCCAGCTGCCCAGATTATTGAGAGTCTGGAGAAATCCTGGAAAGAGAGGTTGGAGCGCATGCAGATAGAGTAGAGAATGGTGGAGCTGGCGGTGAATGATAGCGGCAGCAGACCAGTCAGTCCTTTAATCTAGGGACCTCAGGCCCTGTGCTCTTCACTTTTTCCCTGTGTCGGGGGCTCCCACCCAAAGCCAACCGTCTGTTTCTTCTCCCAGTAAATCCTGGGTGCTCCAAGATAAACCCTCAGGCCTCTTTCTCCTCAACAGGCCCTATTTCCTTTGGGTCCACCTGAGGTTTCTCCTTACCTTTTCCTTTATATTCATCATTGCCTTCCAGGCTCTTCTTCCTCAAGAAATCTTAGACCATGCCTTTACAATTTTGACCTGCATATAAATCACTTGGGGAACTTGTGAAATTACAGGTTCTGATTTAGGAAGTCTGGGGTGGGGCCTGGGATTCTGCATTTCTAACAAGCCCTTGGATGATAACAATGCTGGCCCATGGACCACACTTTGAATAGCATGATTCTGGAATAACATCCCATTCTCTTCATCCCTTGCTCTGTGCTCCTTCAGCGTGCCCTATATTTTGCATATATAACTGGTATAACCTGCTCCATTGAGTGTATCAGTGAAAAACTGGTCCTTCTAATAGAAGATGTAGGTTCCTTTGTGATGCAGCCTTGCTTGTCCATCACCCTGTACAGTCTGGGCCACCACAGCTCTTCAGGAAAGGAGAATCCCACTCTCCATACCTCACTTCAGCTCGTTTAGTTTGCTCTTTAATGCCCTACCATTGTGCCCCAGACTACAAGGGCCATGCCAGGACAACCAGGAGGAAAGGTAGGCTCATTATCCACAGATGTGTGTCAGAACAGTCCACTCTCTGTTTTGTGTTGATACTCACTAACCTAGACTTCTTTTCTCTAAGTTTTCTTTTGGGTTCTGTGCCAGAGTAACCTGAGTATACTACCACCCCTTCCCCTTCTGGCTAAATACTCTGATTCTTGGAATCTCTGGGTTCCTATTGAAAATTAATTCATTTTTTTCTCCCTCTCTCTTCCACTTTCTATTTCAAAGATTTTTGGGAAAGATGTCACAAAAGGTTTGATTACAACCTAATTCCTGGACAAAGATTGCTAATTTGTATTACGTGTGTCTTAACTGAGAGGGCCACTCCAATGACCCTTCTAAGATCAGCTTCATTTAATTAAAAGAAAGTGTACTCTGGTACAAGTGTATTGCTTTGAAATGTTCTTTTATAGTATTTTTGTGTGTGTGTGTTGTTTCCAACATACTTCACAGTGCGGGGAACTTGTCGCTGTTTCTTCTGTGTTTCATCTCATTCATTCAACAAATATTTATTGAACACTTGCTATGTTCTAGGCAGCACGCTAGGAACTAGGGATACATAAGTAAATGAGACAGACACAGTACCTGCTCTCATGGAACTTAAAGTCTGGCCAAGGAGAATAAACAATTACAGTGAGCGCTATGTAGAAGTGTGAGATGCTATGAGAATGAATGGGGAATGAGGGACTATTCCCTGAGGATGAGACATTTTTGTTGACATCTAAAGAATGACTTAGAACTGAACCTCTGAGAACACACCTATAGAACCCTGTATTGAGAAACACTGAATTAACTGGTCAGCTTTGTCTCTTTAGGTGATCCCTCATCACCATTGTGACTAGAAAAACAAACACAAACATAGGCACTAAAATTTCTAAAAAAAAAAAAAGTAATCCAAATCATCCAGAATGAATATTTGAATATTTTTATTTTTTAAAGGATGACCCATCAAAATTATAACATGAAATTTAAGTTTTAAAAAAGATTTATTATTAAAATATAGCTAACATACAATATTATATTAGTCTCAGCTGTACACCATATTTATTCCACATTTATATTCCTAAAGAAGTGATCACCATGCTAAGTCCAGCAACCATCTGACACCATACAATGCTATCAGACAACATTTAAGTTTTATAAGAGGACTCAGAAGTCCCTAGAGGAGACATCCATGAATCTGTAGATTCCCCAGGTCTCAGCTTGAGAAACACAGGACTGGGAAGGGGCCAAGGTGTGGGAAAAAGCATAGGCTCTCCCTCAAAGTGTCACTGCATGAATATTGACTGACTCACACTGCTTGCTCTCTCCCAGTTCCCTGCCCCTTGAGTCTCATGATGCTGGGGCTCAGCTCTCTGGGAATAGTCACCAAGGAATCAGGAAAAAGGAAAGAAACAAGCCAGGAGGATGATATCCCCAGGCCTGGCTAAAGAACATGGGATCTGAGGAAGACACAAAATGAAGATGACACATGAAAAATTGCTTACTTGTTGAGACAGAGGATCAAATTGGGGGGTGAGCAAGGAGTCTCTCTCTCCTCTCTTTTTCCTAAAAATATGAGAATGAAATGGAAGAGCAGCTTTGAGAGGAAGAGATGAAAAGGAACCTTCTTCCCCAAGTTACTGGATTCAATTCCACCCTCGCACTACAAGTGTCCTCTGCTCCCTCTTTTCCTTTAGTGTCTCAGGGACTAACCTCACTAACATCAAAATATATGGATGCAACTGGGACATGACTTAACTTGTGCCTAAGACATTTCCCCAGCTTCAGGTGAGAGGGACTGAGGGCGGAGCACACAGGAACCTCTGGAAAGGGAATGAGATTATGGGAGATTCTGGGTTAAGGAAGTCAAAGGCATCTGGGAGAATAGAAGGACTTGAGGGAGGGGGGTCAATGATTCTGCTAGCTGCGATTATGGAAGATGAACCCCATTCTGGAACAATTCTTCCCTCCTCCAAGTCATCATAGGGGGCACTTAATACCTTGCTGATGATTGGTCTGAGGGAAACACCCATATCTGACAAGTTTCTGAGGATTTACCTGTAAATAATTATTTTACAACCCACCAGTAGTCACTTCTTTCCTTCTTTCTTTCTGAGTCCCTTCCTTCCAAGGTGGCTCAGAGGATCTGGCCATATTCTGCTACTCTCTTTAGCCTATCTCTAAGGGCATCGTTTTGCGTCATTAAAGATCTAATCTGATGGCAGAACCAGGGAGAGGTTCAAAAGCTGGTGTGAAGTAATAGTGGGTACTGAATTTTCATGCGAGCTGGTGGTTGTTTCATGTTGTCTACACACACACAGAGTATAGGATATTTGCCCTTTAAATGGGTGAGGTAAGGTTCTTTTCTTAGTCATTCAATAATCCTTACTGAATACTTAGAATTTTTCAATGGAACATGGAGATTAATACAAAGATCCCCATCAGTAGTCGAATAAGGGTAAAGAGTCATAGTTAACCAAGCTTCAGATACAAAGGCAAAAGTGATAAGTGACATGGAAGTTATGTCCAGCTGGGGGTGATTTGAAAAGGAGTTCAGAGGGTTGAACCTTGCTGTGATTGAAGGGACTTACTACAGGTGGAAGAAGCCAACAAGGCAGGAACTATAAAGAAAGGAATGCCACTTTTCAACCAGATTATTCATCTCTGGCTTGTCAAGCTCAGCTTTCCGGAGCATTCCAATGCCCATTCATGCTGCCTTGTCACCAGGCATTCAGCTGGCTGGAAGTTTTGACACCCTCACATCCCCCTGCATTCCATACTCACCACATGGAACCACATGCTGCACTTGCTCTCTACCATTTAGCATCAGGATGGGAGACAAAAATTCTAGCTTTCCAAAGGCTAAATAAATTTCTCCTTCTGTTTAGCTTTGGTGTTTCTGTGGCTTTTAGTTCTGTTGGGATTTATGTCAAAATTGTTTCTCCTATACGCTTCTAAAGCATTTTGCTTGTGCTTCCCTTACAGGCAAGGTTTTCAGGCAGGACGAGGCAGTGAAAGGCAGCCTTTAACAGTGAATGTTAATGATGAGAGCTGCTCTTTTTTTTAAATATATTTTTTATTTTCAATTACAGTTGACATACAGTATTATATTAGTTTCAGGTGTACAACACAGTGAATAGATTCTAAATTTATATAATTTAGAAAGTTCTATAACTTTCTGACACCATACATAGTTATTACAATATTACTGACTATATTCCCCATGCTATACTCTTCATCCCCATGACTATTTTGTAATTACCAATTCGTATCTCTTAATCCCCTCCCCCACCTTCACCCATATCCCCAACCCTCCCAACCCCATCCAGCAACCACCAAAATGCAGATGAGAACTGCTCTTTCCAAGCCCTGACTAGTGATGACCACAGTAGTGGGCATTGTGCTAAATGCCTCATGTATGTCAACTCATTTTCTCCTCACACAACTCCATGAGCTACTTATTCAACAGGATCTTATTGAGGGCCTCCTCTGTGCCAGGCATTGTTCTAGGTTCTGGAAATAAGGCAGTGGAAAAAAGCCCTAGATCTCTTGTAGCTTATATTCAAGTGAAGATAATAGGCAATAATAATCAGTCAGTAAAATATAATGTCAGTTCTGCACAACCAGGAGGTATTAGATAAATAAGTACATCAGAAAAGAAAATCGGGGCAGTGGGGAGGGAAAGAAAGAAAATATAATATCAGGCAGTAACAAGTGCTATGAACACAACGAAGCAGGCTACAAAATGCCCCCCTGGTGTGTGTGGTGCTGTTTTTAATCAAGTGAGGATGAAAGCCTCCTTGTGGAGGCAGTTTTTGTGCAAACATAAATAATGTAAGGGAGCAGACACACATATCTGAAGGAAGAGTGTCCAGAGAGAGAGAAAAACAGGAGCACAAAGGCCCTAAGGTAGGAAGGAATTAGATTTTTATGCTAAATTCATAGCAACTAGAATAGCAAGGGGGCCAGGTGGGTTGAGCAGAGGAAGGAAGGGGAAGAGTGGGAGGGGATGAAG